AGGAACAATGTTCGCTACTAGGAGCAAAGGGCATCGCTACTAGGAGCAAGGACGCTACTAGGGGCTCCTGGCCGTACTACTAGGAACAATGTTCGCTACTAGGAGCAAAGGGCATCGCTACTAGGAGCAAGGACGCTACTAGGGGCTCCTGGCTGTACTACTAGGAACAAGGTTCGCTACTAGGAGTAAAGGGCATGTTTCGTGGTGCTTATAGGATTTTCCGGTTTGTTGGGCCTTATGCCGCCCACAATTGCTCACGCGAGACGATTCTATGTGCAAACAAGCCACAGACACCCCAGCTGAACCTCAAGTGAGTTTGAAAAGGGCAAAAAGGAACAGCTCCAAGTCAGGATGTCAATCAAATAGGTACTGTTTCGAGCAAATATAATGTCTGCTTGCGCTCACCTCCACTCTGTTCAGACCAGCAGGTTGGAATTGGTTGTTTGTGCCTTGTTTGCACTACTGTTGACCGGTGCTTGCATTATGGAGTGAATATGTGTCATGTCGAAAATCCCTTGATCATCCTTGATTGATCGTTACTAGTACCATCTAGTAACAAGGTACCATACTACTAGTAGCAAATAGCGACTAGGATCCAAGGGCGTCGCGGAGCAAGGACGCTACTAGTAATTCCTGGGCTTACTACTACTATAGCAAATTGCTTTGATCGTTTCCGATCGAGCTTTCCCCGCGGTGTCAAGGGCCGCGTGTGGGAAAGAAGCCCTTCTCCCCCGGCCGCTTGGCCCTGCAGACCAGGGTGCCACCACCCACAATGGCCACGCGATACTTCGAGCCCTGGGCTGTTGGAAGCAAACTCTGATGAGTTCTGGCAAAACACGTGGGCTGTTGGATCTCTAATTACATCAACTCATGATCTCTCCAACCAATTCGACCCTGGTGCACGTGCCGCACGGAACGCGCATGGCACTGGCACTCCCGACCCAGGAGGAGGGCGGCACTGGTACTGCCGCCAGGCCCAGCTGTCTGGAGAGGACGCCCAATGGGCTGGACATCTTGCGGGAGACGAACATGACCTCTGCACGAAGAAACACAGATTCTCCGCCCAAGTAGCGATGGCCTCCCACCCTACTAGTGATGACCTCCAAGTGAATGGCTGTGTGTCGAGCAAAAAGCCAGATCCTAAAAGAACGCGCTTCTGAAAATGCCCAAATCCAGAAGAAGGATCCAAATCACAGCTTCCACTGGCACTGGCTTACATGTCATGAAGATTCATCGGCGAATCGGGCAGGGCGGTGAAATGCGAATTAGCGACCATCGACCCAAGTTCCCCATCCTACTAGGAGCATTCGGACGCTACTAGGGGCTCCGTTTTTTCACCACGAAATCTCCTCCGTCAAGCGCTGAGGCTCCGAGCGTTGTTCAGGCCTGCAGGGCCCAGGAGGGGGGTGCTTTGAGCCGCTAATGCTGCGGAGCAGATCAGATGGAGAGCCGAGCGTAGACCCACAAGGACCTGGGTGAGAGAGGATGTTTTTTCATGGCCAAGACGCTGCAAAGCAGTGGACCAATGGCAAAAAGACATGTAAAAAGACATAAACAATGACAACCATTGGACCAAGACTGCCGTATATTGTACAGGATATTGTGGCACAGGGCTTCCAGAAGAACATCTCCAGCGGAAAAAAAAAGAAACTGAGATCCAACGTTGAAAGTTGGGCCGTCTCCACGTTCCCAAATCACAATGCTCTCGTCCTTGCACGATGGACAGGCCGCATGAAGCGCCCCAGTGCGCTGCGAAAATAGCACGGTCACTCCAACGGGGGTCCTCCTATCGCATTGTCCACTTGAGAGGTCGACTAGCAGAGAATCTAGACCAGACCCCAGAGACCTGCATGTCCATCAAGTAGAGTCCTGGTCTTCATCCTAAAAAGGGGACCTTCCGTGGCCACGGCTGCGCCTCGGATCGGCCGACGGCTACGGTCCTTGGAAGATGAAGCCAAAAGTCGACCATCGTGGGTAATGGATGCAAACCACACCTCATCGCGATGGTGATCCAGCCTGACATCGAGGAATCGCGAGGAATCGCGAGGAATAAGGAGCGCTTTGTGGCAGAACCCCAACAGTGGGCCTTTGTGGCACTCTGAGACGAGATGCTTTTTGGTGAATCGAATCGATTTCACCGGTGGACTTGCAAGCCGGAAAGGTTCCGAGTGACTGGTCCTAATCCACATGTTGGCCATCGATAGTAGGTTGGAGGTTGGAAGCGTCTTGATCTACAAATGTAGCAGACGGATGTCCAGCCTCCCCACGCAGTGTGTGGGCAGCGGTGGCCTGAGGAGACGTAGCATAATGCTGTAGCATCCAAGGAAAAGAACTAGAGGTCTGAGTCAAGAGCGACCTGCTGAAAGGTATAAGTTAAAAAGTTGAAATTGTGTGTAGTATATGATACAAACATGAAAAAGAAAAATCTAGTCAGGGTGCTTTCAGAGTAGTGCAAGCCAGACCTCAAAAGGCTCCAAAAGACACCCGGTGGCCTTTGAGACAAAGCCTTGAGAAACAGCAAAAGCCTGGTGGTTCTCCCAAAAAACGTCACATCTCGATACGTCTCCGGCACTGCCCCGCCCAGTGGGCGCGCTTGGAGTGAATCTTCGATCTACTGCGCCGCCCTCCACGCAGCGAGAGCGCGATCCAAGGTGAGCACGGCGAATAGGAGTAATTCTTGATCAGGCCAGGGACCGTTGACCTGGAAGGGAGAACGAAAGGATCCTCAATGGATCCTGTTTGCAGAAATGGTCATGAATAGAAGAAGCTACGAACGTAACAAAAGGGCATCGCTACGAACGGAGCAAGAAGCTACGAACCTAGCTCCTGGCAATACTACTAGTAACAAGAAGCTACGAAGGAAATAGATTTTCAGGTTGTAGATTGCTCAATGGCTCTTGAAAGGCTTCCTTCCAAACCTCGGAGCCAGGTCTGCATGCTCAGGCCAAGACATGAGAGTAGGGTCCAAATCTGCATAGAGGCAATGGAGGTGCTGATACCTGAAGGAGCCAATTGCTTGCAAATCTGGCGCCAAGTCTGTCCCTTTTGTTTGCTAGAACAAAAGCCGTTTTGAAGGACCAGCCAGGGCTGTCTGGCTTAGTTCCGAATTGTGCAGGAACCGAATCAGATCATGCCGAGACGACCCGGACGCTTTCGCCTGACAGCTTGCCAGAGGAGCTCAGGAAGACGCCGCGGTGGGAGCTCCGGCAGTAATGCTTCCTGAGAGAACAGTGAATTGACAAGTGTTTACCCATCTTAGGTTGCAGGCCATTGCTCTTAGGTAGGAGGCCATTGCTGTTTGCTTGGACGCCATAGCTCTAGGTTCTTAGGTTGGACGCCATCCGTCTTGGGTTGGAGGCCATCCCTCTTAGGTTGGAGGCCAATGCTGTTAGGTTGGACGCCATCGCTCAGCTTGGAGGCCATTCCTATTAGGCGGTTTCTTCTAGTCCGGTCAAATCTGTGTGTCGTAAAAGCTTGGCCAAGCGGGCACCGGCACCAAAGTGAGCAGCTGCTCATATGCCAGAAGTGATGTCAACACACAGGCCCATGATTGGTTGAGATGCACAAGTCCCGACTCTCAGCCAAGTTGGAACCACAAAGCGTCCGGCGAATTGCAAACACAAAGAACGACCACACCTGCCCCGGAAGAGCTCTTCTCTTTCAGGAGAGAATGCAAGAAGCTACTAGGAGCAAAGGGCATCGCTACTAGGAGCAAGGACGCTAACTAGGACTAGGGGCTCCTGGCCTTACTACTAGGAGCAAGGACGCTACTAGGAGAGAATGCCATTCAAAAAAAAAGGAGCCAAAGGCACGGGACCGAACCCCCGCCCTTCTCGGACACCGACCGCGCGCCCAGCGGCACGCGAAATGTCACGCCCTCGGCGCCGGACCACTTTCTCCAGCAGCGCGTGTCGGTCTCGGGCATCTGCTTTGGCCTGGATCATCACCTGGAGACCTTCCATGGCGCTGTCCTGCGGAAAAGACTCGGACGCAGCGTCGTCACGTTTGGGCAGCTGCTTGGGACAGCTGTTTGGGGCTTTATCATGCCCCCGTATTTCAGAAAGCGCCTCTGGTCGCGATGGCAAATGGGCCAAAAGCACATCGGGCAAGTCTTCGGTGACTGGACCACTCACATTAGCTGAGCTCCCCAACTGAATCTGCAATCTCTTGGAAAACTTCTAGGGCTGCCTGGCTTCTGGTCACTTGTACCACCACAGGCCACTTACTTAGAAAGACCAACGGACTCAAAAGAATTCGCCGGAAGCGCTCAATGGTCGCTCGGAAGCACATGTTTCCCTTACAAGACTGGGGAATTCATTTCTCCGAGTCACAAAACGTTACAAAACAAGACAGTGTAAAGGCCACAAGTGTTTCTTTCATGTTCTGCTGGCACCTCCAAGTGACCCTTCTCGTGCAGCTCCAAGCATTTTTGCTCCAAGAGCAGCCGTCGTAGAGGTACCTGCGTACTCGTGCGTTTTGCGCGAGCGTTGCGATTCGCGGCAATGGAACAGGCTCTGCAATCGCTACTAGGGTGGAGGCCATCGCTCGTACAGAAACCTGACAAATTCATCCCTTAGTAGTACTTAGTAGCCTTAGTCATCCCTTGACACTGTTTCAATGCCAAATCACGGCAACGCTATGTCCAAAAAGTCCTCTCCCAGTCACCCCCGGGAGCCAACCCCAATGGAATGCTGATACCCAAACAAGACTTATCACCAAGAAAGTAGACCCAAAGAGCTCAAAAACCATTGGAACGCTAGTTCTAAAAGAGTGTGGGTTTGATTGACATACGTTTGTTGCACACCAATCCCAGTGGAACGCTGTAGAAATCGTTTGACGAAAATATTGGCGTAGACTCACCGCAGATGACCTAAGAGTTATGCCGCAGCGCCCCACAAGTCCTAGGGCGTCGCTTCTAGGGAGAGCCGAAGCCAACATAGCCATTGTTCCTAGTTGGCTTCGAATGCTACTAGTAGCGCCCTTAGTTCCCAGTAGCGATGCCCTTTGTTCCTAGTAGCGTCCTTGTTACCGATCCACCCAGGGCCCAAGCCCCTGCATCCGGATCCACGTAGCGCGCCATGTGAAGCGCCTCCAAGTCGTTTCGGACTGCCAGTACTGTCCAACATGCACGCGGATAGAAACAGTTGCTGTCGAGGAGCAGGATCTGAGGGTCTCAAAATTGACGGGAAACACACCAACTTTCGGGATGTTGAGTGGAAGGTTTCGCTCCAGTTGTTCACAAGCCCAAAAGTTCAGTTGCCTCATCCCAGTGACCGGCAAGAATCTCTTGCCTGGGCAAAATGCAGCAACTGGCCTTTGAGAGATAGTGGTGAACAACCAAGCTGTCAAGGGCCAAAACATGTGTCTGACTGTGCCGCTTGCCCAGCCTCAATCCAGCCACGGCCTCTTCTTGCGACGGTCCTGACCTCATGGCTATAAGGGAGTACGGCAGCCCAAGATTCCAGAAGCTGTTCAAACAACTCAAAGAATCAATCAAACACCTAACACCTCATCTCCATCCTGGCTCATCCTGACCTCTTTCACCAAGCAACTCCAGTTCCAAGGCCTCACGAGCAGCCTTGAAGCCGAGGTCAGACAAGGCCTGAAGACAAAGTCCAAGCGAAAAGGCCTCTCTGACTGCCTTGACTCGATTTGAAGGTCTGAGGGTGCTGATCACCCTCACTCTGGCCTGCTAGGTTGAAGGCCATCGCTCTTAGGTTTGAGCCTCTATAGACTAGAAGCGATGCACTTGTTACTAGTAGCTTCTTGTTACTACTAGTAAGGCACCTGTTCCTAGTAGCGATGCACTTGTTACTACTAGCGAGGCACTTGTTACTAGTAGCGAGGCACTTGTTACTAATAGACTCTGTTTTGTGCCCACCTGCTTCAACAATCGGACCACCTCACTTCGTCGGAAGCCCTCAAAGAGCCTGGCGAGTGCAGCATGTGGATTCTCAAGGTTCAAACGATGCAACAAGGGGCGTTCCATCATGGCTAGTAGTAACAAGCGCATCGCTACTAGGAACAAGTGCCACGCTAGTAGTAACAAGTGCCTTACTAGTAGTAACAAGAAGCTACTAGTAGCGTCCTTGCTCCTAGTAGCAAGGCAGCCAAAGCTCTCACAGAACCTTCAGCCTGGGACTCCCCGACTCTTCTCCGGATGAGGCGGAATCCAAACTCTCTCGCTCAGCCTCAGAACTGATGCGGCCAAACGGATGGAACGATCTGCAAGCCCGAGATCCCTTAGGCCAAGCGATGGCCTCCAACCTAATTGCATGCTTGTTATTAATAGCTTCTTGTTCCTAGTAGCAAGGCCAGGAGCCCCTAGTAGCGTCCTTGCTCCTAGTAGCGATGCCCTTTGCTCCTAATAGCAAAAGGAACCTAGAGAGTCCATTCTCAAAGAGGGTTGCAAAAGGGAGTGATAAGGGACCATCCCTTGCAAAAGGAAATGGCGCTGCATCAGCAGCCCTTCTGAACTGTTCACTCGGTGCTGGCTGTGCCAAGTGCCTTGCCAGCACTATTTGCATCAAAAGCATAGCAAGGTATAGCAAAGCCATGTCAAAAAGTGTCTTTGGACAGAAGCAACATAAAAGCTTGCGTCTCACAAGCACCTCCTCAAATCGACCCCCTTAGCCACGCTGAGCATCTCACAAGCACTCCTCGTGGCCTCAGTGAGGCTTCCAGATTTGGAGCGTGGCCTTTCTTGGTCTCGAAATGAACCTACTAGCGATGGCCTCCAAGCCTATCTCCTGAGGCCCCTGAAACCTGTGATTTTAGGAAGAAACCTCGGTCAAATCTGGGCGATGGGGCCGCTTCGCTGGCCACCGAAAGTCCCAGGCCTCAGGCATCAGTCTCCAAGTGAACTTCGACTGAAGACGCTCTGTCGGCTACCTTTGCGCCGACTCTACGAACGAATCCTCATGTTTCATCCCTCTTGTCAGCTCCCTCTCGAGGTTTTACAGGCCATCGCTAGTCGGGAGAGCTGAGAAGAGAGGCTGACCTCTCGACCCAGTCGCTCCCAGCCTCAGAGGACCGCGGCGCCGGCTCGGAGGTCCGCCTCAGGCGGCAGCCGGCCGCACTGCGCGAGAGACCCGCAGAGGTCACCCAGACCTCCGATTGTCCCGTTGATGCTGTGAAAGAATTCTATCCCAGGTGGGAGCAGGGCCGGCCCAATTTTCACCCGGAAAAACGAGATCCAAAATGCCACCAGCAAGGACGCTACTAGGGGCTGGCCTTGCTACTAGGAACAACAAGCTACTATAACCTCCTGGCACCACTACGAACGGAGCAAGGACGCTACTAGTAGCTTCTTGTTACTACTAGTAAGGCACTTGTTACTACTAGCGTGGCACTTGTTCCTAGTAGCGATGCGCTTGTTACTACTAGCTTCTTGTTACTACTTTTATCGTAGGTTGGAGGCAACGGCTTTTGGAGCCGTTTCTGTTGGTCTCCAGGCTTGGACGCCACCATGCGCCGCCGGCAACAGGCGCGATCCATAGGCCACGTGGTTCGAAGTCGCGGAGCTCGAAGAGCGAACCCGTGGTGCTTTTTGTGTAACAAGTGCATCGCTACTAGTAACAAGTGCATCGCTTCTAGTAACAAGTGCCTTACTAGTAGTAACAAGAAGCTACTAGTAGCCAGAAGCTACTAGGTTGGAGGCCATCGCGAGCGATTGGGGTAGGCCGTAGGTATGTAGCAGGCCAGGTAGCTACTCATTGTTTGGTGGATGTCGCACGTGTTTTTGTCCACCCCAAAGAAAGAAGTGTCTTCCTTCGTCGGGATGGGTTTGGATTTGGCATGCGGCAGCTTGGCGGGATGAATTCGCTGTGGATGCTGACTAGAAGGTTTTATGTTTGCTGTGGGTGAGAGCTAGATACATCTTAGACCTGCAAGTATCTGCAAGTGACCTTTTAGGGTACTCCTTTAGGGTGTTCTATCTGGATGGTAAGGTCCGCGGAAGCTGCCACTTCGAGCAGAACGGACCAAATGCAACACATGCCAAGCGGCTCTGTACTTCATTTGTTCTCCACTACACTGTCTTTTCTTGGTGAACCAAGTCACTGAATCAAACGTACCACATCAAAAGTCGCAGAAGCCCAGTGCAACTCTCCTCTAAAGAAACTAGCTTCAGCTAAAATGACAAGGACCAAAGTGGAAAACAACGCAACAAGGATTGTTGCGCAATGCCGTCTGCGCTTCTCATCTTCTCCGGTTTCGGATCGCTCCTCCTTTTTCGGCGGCACAGTGGTCAGAGCGAAGCGAGAGAGTCTCGCAGCGGTCAGAGCTCCGGACCACCTTGGGCACAAGCGTCACTCATGTGACACCGGTAGCTACTACTTACCCTGCTAGCTACTAGCTGCTAGCTACTTGTTAGCTACTTGCTAGCTACTACGGCCTAACCCTAGCGGTGGCCTCCAACCTAATTGCATGTGGCCTTTGCATGCCTTTGCATGCTGTGTCTCATGAGAGTCTCATGGCTCTCATGTCACTGACTCTGCTGGTCTAGTAGCGTCCTTGCTCCTAGTAGCGATGCCCTTTGCTCCTAGTAGCGAACATTGTTCCTAGTAGTAAGGCCAGGAGCCCCGTTCGTAGCGTCCTCTTGTTTCTAGTAGCGATGCCAGGAGCCTCCTGAACAGCTTTTTCCTCAGTTCAACCACTGCTCAAAGTCATCGCCCAGCCATTCGGTCACCGGCCGATGTGTCGACACAAAGTCGGGCCAACCGTAGACCTCCTCCGCTCGGTGGGGATCTGACCAGAGGGTGATCTTGAAGTCCAGCTCTTCGCTCTGTTGGAAATACTCCGGGACATCACATCGGGCGATGAAGCCTGGACATCGCACGGGTTGGCGGTTGGAGGCCACATGCTATTAGACCGTTGGAGGCCGTAGTAGCTAGCAAGTAGCTAGCAAGTAGCTAGTAGCAAACTGGTAAGCAGTAGCCTAAGTAGCTACTGGACGCGCCTTCCAACGGAGGCCACAAATAGCGCCCCCACATCGACAGTCGATGCTCACAGCCACCTGGTGTGGACTTCTTGAGCACCTGCAACTCCACATTCTCAAAGCGCTTCATGTCGGGTCGGGTGACCAAATCCATGACAACCTGACTGACTTTAATCTTCGGAGGAACCTTTCTGCTGGACTTCTCGCTCTTTCCCAGGGCCTGACACTGTGCAACAGCTGAAGGGTGCAACGTTCCGCAGGCTTCATAACACATACAGCTGCAAGCGCCGGCTGTCAGTGCATCTTTGAATCTCTTGATCCGTGAGCTCTGTGTGGTCCTCCAATTCACTTTCACTTGTAAGACCATCCAATTTTTCCACATAGCTTCCACAGTGGAATCCTTGTCCATCTGATGAATCGCCAGTGACGTGATATCGGTCACACCCAGCCGCTTCAAATGTTCATCCTTCAAGCCACCCAAAGCTCCAGGCGAGCAGAATTTCGTCTCATAAATGTCCTGCAAACCGAGAACGACCTGCGACAAGGGATGCCGGTCATGGAAATGCTCTGGACCCTCTGAACGCCAATCTCGGATCTGAAGCCTCAGCAATGACACGAAGAGCGCCTTCTCCCAGTGCAGCCGGGTGCTGGTCCAGTTGATCTCTCGTTTGCCACGCAAGGCATCCAGAATCTCCGGCCACGTGGAAATGAGACCAGCCTGATGACTCACATTGGCCATGCGCCAAAGCATGCTCCACTGAAGTGCATCCTCTTGCGGTTTCATGTCATCAAACTCTCCTTCAACCAGCTCCTGAAACCGTGTCGTTCGGGTCCGAGCGCGTTCGAAATGTTGGAAGGCCGGCCTGAGGTTCTGGGGATGCACAGTACCGGAAGCGGTACCAGTCACAAACAAAACGGAACAACGGCGAGTGGACTTCAAACCCACACCCCCAAAATACAAACCGACCCTGTTGTAGCTGACAGTGTGGCCCCAAACTCGAACGTGCGATTCATCACGTCGAGAACTGCATTAGGCGGAACTGGCCGTTGAAGCCCACACAAAAAGAAGAAGGGTTCGTAACAAGTGCCTTAGTAGTAACAATAAGCTAGTAGTAACAAGTGCCTTAGTAATTACAATTCTAATTAAATTCTTATTGGTACTACTAGTGCACTTGTTACTAGAAGCGATGCACTTGTTCCTAGTAGCGAACATTGTTACTACTAGTAAGGCACCTGTTACTACTAGTAAGGACGTCCCACAGAAGCAGTAGCGCCACCTGCGCAAAAGCATGACCAAAACCTCTCCGAATCCCATCCTGCCACATCTCTTCGATCTTCCCAAGCATCTCCTTGGGTCTTTGCATCAGGGGTTTCACCTTCTCTTCCGCTTGTAACTGTGCCACGTTCACATCGTCCAGGTCAAAGAAGCCCTTGCCGCCCACGGACTCTGGGTCCAAACACTTGAGATCTGCCGCGCAATAGGCCACCACATAGGGCAAGACATCGACGCACGGTCTGGTGTACATGGGATCAAAATTGATCGTTTTCCCATGGGACTTCAGTGCAGCCGCCCAAATCTTGTCTGAGAAGACTGGCAACTGGTCCTTGCCCGTGTCCTCTGTCTCGGCCGACCGGGCCCGACCGGCAGTGATGTATGGAGGGCCTGGCTTTTTCTGGCCTTTAGACGCCTGTCTCTTTAGACCTTTCGGCTATTCAAGCCTATCCTTTCGACTAATACTGTATTCTCTCCTGTTACCTTTTGACTTGTCTCTTTGCTGTTTCTCTAGAACTCCTGCCTCAGACCTCTAGACTTGTTCTTCATTATGCCTTTCTTTCTTTTGAGACGCTTTCCGCTTTCTTTCTTCCTTCTGTCCTCCGCATCTACTCGGTTGGCAATCATGGCACATTGAAGCTCATTGAACCGTTCAGCTTCGCTGGCACTGCTGTTCTCCAAAATGCCTTTCAAGTCATCCTCGCCCAGCTTATCAAAGGCCTTTTCCAAACCTGACAATGGGCGCAAAGCATCGGGGTTTTGCCGTAAAGCCAAAAAAGAAAAGAATATCACAAGAAAAGCCTCCGTAACACTCCATCTCAGAAACAGCTTCCTTTGGAAGTGCAGCGAAGGGAGTTCATGAGCTCATCATAGTTGTACCCGAAGTCGATCGAACCAAAGGTTCCTTCTGCATTGTGCATCAAGGGCCACCATTTCTCACTCAAGGCCTTCTCCATGAGTCGCTGATAGGTTCGGGCAGTGCAAGCCATGAAGGGCTGCTCATGTGTACAACCATCCAAATACGGTTGCCGCTGCTTGTCCATGGCCTGCATACAAAGCTCCATGGACCCCAAGTGTTGAAATCCCTTGGGCAAAGCCGAAAGGCTGACGGAGGGAATCAAGGCATAAAGAGCTCCAGCCAAGTTCAGCAGCGCGGCGTTCAAGATGGCAGCTGCGATGTTTGGGAAGGAGACCGACAAGGAAATCAGGAGTGTACTGCCTGCGGTTTGAAGAGCATCCCTACAATCCTTGTTCTGAAGCATGTCCGGTAGCCGGAGCTCAGCCATCTGCTGCATCCTCTGAGTTTGTGAAATGAAGTCTTTCTTTGCTTTTTGCAGCAAGTCCTCTTCAGGGCTCAAAATAACGTAGCCCCTAGTAGCATCGTTGCTCCTAGTAGCGATGCCCTTTGAACCTAGTAGCGTCCTTGCTCCTAGTATTATAAAATGCTTTCATGGAAATGCCAGAATCCTTGATTTAAAAAAAGTCGAAAAAAAGTCAAAAAAAGCAACTGGAAAAGTCAAAGTCAAAAAAAATGTCAAATTGAAAAGTCAAAAAAAGGTCGAAAACATGTCAAAAAAGGTCAACCATAGACCACAGCTCGAAAAAGTCAAGAAAAAGTCCAAAAAAAGTCGAAAAAAAGTCAAAACTGTGGCTCCTCGCCTTGGCGGATTACTGGAGTCGAGAGAAGTCAAAAAAGAAGTCAAAAAAAAGATGAAAACAAGTTAAAAAAAAGTAAAGCGTAGACCACAGCTCGAAAAAGTCAAAAACAAGTCAACAAAAAGTCAAAAAAAACGTTTAAAAAAAAGTCAAAAAAAGTCGAAAGAATGTCGAAAAAGGTCGGATCTGGGCAATTTGACTTTTTTTGACTTTCTGGTTTTTCTGGATTTGACTTTTTTTGACTTTGACTTTTGGGATTGACTTTTGGGATTGACTTTTGTTTGACCTTTTTTTGACTTTTTTAAAATTTTGAAAACAGGTTCTTTCCAATGAAAGCATTTTCTAATCCTAGTAGTAAGGCCAGGAGCCCCTAGTAGCGTCTTTCTTTGCTTGTTGCAGCAAGTCCTCTTCATGTTGCTCTACATCTTCCACATGACGCTCCAGCAGGGACAGGTGTTGCTCCACCTCTTCAGGTGACTTGTCGGAGAAGTGATCTCGCAGTGCCTTTTCCACCAACTTCTCATGATAGCCCTCTGCTTCGGTCTCCCATCCTTCCTCCGCTTGCGACTCGCAGATTTCCGCCAAGGAACTTCCGACATGATCCGGAGGGAAGAAGCTGTCGAAGCGTTCTTGCATCTGCTGTCGAACAAAGTCGGGCGCATACTCGTAGCCAAAGACGCTGCGCTTCACATCCTTCAACCACCCAATGACCTGCGCCAAGTAAACAAATGCTCTCTTGACGACCCCATGCTCCTATACATCATGTGCCTGACCATACATAAAGATCAACAAAAACTGTTACTGGTAACACCGCTGCCGACCTTCCGTACAGCTGCTTTGATCTTGGCCCACAGCGCTTGGACCTTGCTGAAGGCAGAACAAACGGTGCATCGGCCACACATGGCCATCTGACGCATGTACGCAGCAGGGATGCCCAGGTAGGTCGCCCGCAGGGCGGGAGCCTAAAAAAATGAGGCAAGCAGGGCGGAAGAGGATGCTGTGCTTGGGACTTTGCAAGCTTTGGGACAAAGAAAACAAGTGTTTCTCTTCCAAGTTCTCTTTCTTCTCTTTTGTCTTTGTGTCTTTTTACTTTGTTCTTTACTTGCGTTTTCTTCTTTGGTGTGGACCGCAGTGGACCAGACCTGTCTCGTCTGAAAGTGAGAGAGCGGAGTCGAGCCAAGGAGCCTTTGCTTGTTGTTGGCATTTTTCCTTATCGCTCTCACTGATTTCCTCACTGAAGCCACAATCTTCCAAAACGGCATCCACCTCCTCGGACTTCTCCCAGGGCACCTTCTTCTTGGGCGCACAGTAGTAGCTCACACTGTATCCAGGTACCTAAGAGCACGCTGCCAAACCAGAGAAACCTTTCTAGAGGGGTGGCCTCCTAACCTCCTAGCGGTGGCCTCCACCCATGGCATGCGATGCCATCCAGGTAACCGGGATCGGTGGGAAGATGGACCACGAGATCGCGATGCTGCGATCCACATCCACTAATCCACAGGCGCGGCAACTGCCTCGCTCGATGCGAACCGACGAGAACGCGAACTTCGTTTCGTTTCGGACCGGTCGAGCGTTGCGGTCGTGAAGGGGTTTCCGCATCCTACATGAAAGGGAAGTCCAAGACCAGCGCAGGAATCAAAGGAAGAAAGAATTCTGACCTCTTCTTACAGAGCCCTTCTGACTTCGACTTTGGTCCACAAAGAGTGATGGTAGCTACTGGGTACTACTAGGAGCAAGGACGCTACTAGGGGCTCCTGGCCTTACTAGTAACAAGAAGCTACTAGTAACAAGGGCATCGCTAGGTGGAGGCCATCGCTACTAGTTAAATCTCTTCAGTCCCACGTCATGTGCCTGAATTGTTTACCGAGGCATACTCCTCCGGCCGGGTGCGCTCAGCTGCCACACGCCGGGAGGCGAAGGCCACACACGCGAAGGCCGCGAAGAGCAGCAGCTTCATGAATGTCGAAACGTCCGATAGATTCGCTAAACAAAGCTTAAGATCTGTGCCAAAACGCCAAAGGCGGACGTGTCCAAAAAATAGAAACCATGGACGAACCATCCAGCAACACGACCATCGGTCAGCCAAGTCTTTCAGCTTAGCAACTGCTTGGGGCTGCAGCAACGCGGAACTCAGCAGCACTTGGCAGTCCATGGGAATCCTGCCTGCGCTGCTATGGCATGAATCTCGGCATGGTGAGGGAATATCAAATTAGAAACAGTTGGAAAAATCACGGCTCAGGCTGCTCATTGCTCAAGAGCACTTGGAAAAGAATCTGCAGCACACAAAGGATTCGTCCGACATGTTTGTATAGGAAACAAGAAGCTACTAGTAACAAGTGCATCGCTACTGGTAACAAGTGCCTTACAAGGAGTAACAAGGTTCGCTACTAGGAACAAGTGCATGTTTGTATAGATACAGCTTTTGCCCATTCCGTCTGAACGGACTGGTCAACCACTCGTCGAACGCGCACGTCAGCTGATTTCTCCAGTCCTGGGATCCTGCAAGGTCTCGCCTGGTCACGGTGCCAAGAACGGGCCATAAGGCCACCATTGACAAAACACGTTTGCATAATCATAGTATATGGCTTTTGTGTGTCAACTTTCGTGTTCCATGAACTAATGCCATTCGCTTCGCATGAATTCGCATGTTGCGAAGGTTTGAGACCGATTCCTAGCATCTTCGTCCAATTGCACATCCTTCCGCAGCACTGTTTGTGGAAGGGAGACCAAACGGACAAGAAAACCATCAAACAGGGGAAACAAAGACCAGGAATAAAAGATGTCGAATTCGATGAAGCCTGCCTGCATTTTCTCATCTCCACAGACGCTTCTGCAGCACTTGCAGCAGTGCGAACAGCGAACAAAAAGCCTTGGTGATAGTGCTTAGCTCCAATGAGACCTGGCAAGTTTGGAGCCTCATATTCAATTCTGCACTTTGGTTTCCTGCACGAACATGCCAATAGAAGAAAGAGGTTGACGCGCTAGCAAATAACAATTATGAGGGTGCAGCTAGCTGAAGAATTAGCTGAGCGGCGAGGGTTCCACCTGTCCATAGCTTTCACAGCTCCTTCTTTACTTCATGTTGCTTCCGATAGCAAAAGCACCATGGCTGATACTTGGCACGAGGCTACTCACATCGAATAAAAATAAACCAACTGAATCCGAAAAGGGAGAAAACCACATTGCGCCTTGACACAGCATCTGTTCGGCCACTCTTCAGGCTCCGTTGCCTTGGCCGGCGCAGCGTGGTCAACAGCGTCAGAAAAAACGGTGACACGGCGGCTTCGATGTAATAATATGAGCTGCTGTCTACTTAAGCAGTAACAAGTGCATCGCTACTAGGAACAAGTGCCTTACTAGTAGTAACAAGGTTCGCTACTAGAAACAAGAATTAAAATCGAAATAAATTTAACAATAAAGTCATCATCTAGATCTCGTCGTCCGAGATCTGAAGAAACGGAGATCTACAGCGGCGTTGTGTATGGCGCGAAGAAACACATCACGCCCCCATTTTCCCCCTTCTGCGGAAGGTCATGGCGATTCACACCCAAGCCCCTGAATTTGCCATGACATGGCTACCCCATCTAGGCGCCCATGATCTCACAGGCGCTTCTTGCAGTCGATGCATGTCACACCACGGCCGTGGCCATTAGCCCATCGCCGAGTGCGAGGATGGAGGCATTTCTGCTGGAGCGTCTCCAGCGAAGTGACGCCACTGGGCAGATTGTAGTTTCGTGCGCGAGAGGCCGCTTGGTCCATCAAGGCCTAGTGGAACGGAGCATTGACAGTTGCGACGCGCCAGATACAAAGAGTCCGAACGCTCCTAGTAGTAAGGCCAGGAGCCCCTAGTAGCGTCCTTGCCCCTATCTGATCTGCAAAATGGGTCCTTTGACGAACCCACTTAGGTCTGATGTAAATCTAACTGTTGAGATTGATACTCAGCGCGCTTTCCCCAAAAAGAACCCTTACCCTTGCACCGACAACTTGCGCCTTCACTTCAGCCTCCTTCGCGCGCAGCTGTTCCATTTGGAACCTGCGGGTGTTGTTGTCACTTTCTCGTTCTTCTCGATGTCTTTCCATTTCTCCGCGCAAATGCTCTTTCTCCTTTTCTAACTTGTCCCTCTCGCCTTAGCTCTAGGCACTGACGCTAACCAACACAACTGCTTTGCAAGACAAAACACGTTGGAATACGACGGTTTGCCCAACGGATATCAATGGCTTGCCAGAAACATCCAGCTCAAAGCCATAAAGTTCACATTGCTCAAGACGAAATCGTTCCCCCGGCCGTCCATTATCCCACGTCAAGTTACTTGGCAACTGGAGGTTTTGTGCCTCAAGCAAACGCAGCCGTTCTTGCAACTGCTGCTGCTTCAGGCTTCGGCCGTGTTCTTCACCTTTTGCTGGGTCAAAGATGGCATTGAATCGCGACTTGGAAGGTCGATGTCCATTGAATTGAGAGGGGACGCCTAACTGTTGGAGGCCATCCCTTCTAGGTTGGAGGCCATCGCTACTAGGGTGGAGACCATCGCTATTAGGTTGGAGGCCATCGCTAGTAGTTGGAGGCCATCGCTACTAGGGTGGAGGCCATGTGTTGCAAATCTCTCTGCCCAATCAATTTGCTGTGTTGCCAAGAGCTCAAAGGGTTTGTCGGGGAATGAGGGGGGAAATGTCATGTGCATCATTGCTTGCAGTACGGAAGCGTACGAAAGGATAAGTGTTCAAGTGCCAACATCTCTATAGCACCCAATTGAAGGTGCTGCTATACAGGAGAAAAGCACTGTCAGAAGCAAACAAGTGCGAGTGACCTTCCAAACGCTCCAATTGCTCTTGCACCATCTCGCACTGCGCTCTCAACTTCTCCTTCTCTTCTTGCTCAGCGTTCAACCGCCTTTCGAGTTCTTTTCCTTGGTTTGGCACGCGGAGTTCACACATGGAGTAGAGTTTCCCTTTACAAGCGGTGGTCTCCATGTCCCCATGTCTCCACGCCTGCCTCCTCGTCAAAAATGGAAACAGGCGCGGCGTTGGTTCTGCTCACAGCACACAATTCAAGCGCTTACGCCAAGGTTCTAGATTCCTCTAGCTCTTTCTGGAAGACCTCCTTGCTGACGCCCAGTTTTTCGCTGAGCACTGCTGCCATTTCAGCAGTATCTGGCGTGGAATATCTCACTTTAATGTCAGGGAGCGCTGCAATGGCCCTTTGAAGCTCACTGTAGTCGTCTTTCGCAGTGGTCACGAACGTGCCTGAGGAAGTATCTCTCCCAAGCTTCCCTTGTTTCGCCAAGGAAGCTGGATATATGTTACACTCAAGTCTTAGTTCTCAGCTTCGCTCACATCCTGTTTTCAAAAGCTTGAGCACAAAGAACTGGGCCTTTTCTGTTGGGCGCCATGGCAAAGAACTGTGCGGCGATCCCGACGGGCTGTCCATCCTCGTCCAAGCGATCTGTGCCAAAAAGATCGAGCTCGTCTGGCGTCGCACGGTCGCGCTTCGTGCCGACGAGAATGATGTTCTCCCATTTATCTTCCTGGATTTGCTCCGAACATGTGTGGGATGCGTGGACAAGAGGCAAAACAGAGATCTCGTCATCCAAGAGAATCGCTGTGTTAAGAGCAAGTACGTAAGCCTGTTCAAAACCTAGCACCCTCAACGAAGAAAAAAGAATCCAAGAAAATGTTCAAAATCATTGAAACCCTTCAGCATTCAATTCGTCTTTTACAGGTTTCCATTCAAAGAACGATGTGGCAGCCAATGCATCTGAGCCGCGCCGATGAAGCCATGCTCCACCAACAACTGAACCACCTGTGCGCCCAGCTTCACACGGCCGTCCGGCACCGGTGTGGTGACAATGACGCCGTCAATGGCATCGGCTCCGTTGATCTCATCCGACATCAGCCTAGGTCCGGGTTGGCCACCAAATGAAGTAAAAAAGATCCAAATGAACAGAAAAATAAAGAATAAAAGAAAGGAAAAAGAAGAGAAGCAAGCGACTCTATGACTCTATGACCAACACAATGCCAAGGCAATTAAGCATTGGAAAGCCTTGGTGTATTTGTGGTAGGGCCGGTTGGTTCTTGCTCCCGCTTTTGCCAAGGGGCTCCTGCTCAATCAACGTCAGCACCTTCATTGGAGTGACATCCATGTCTCCTACGCCTGGCGTATCGAGATAGTCCACCTGCATGCCATCAATTGGCAAACCAACCTTGGATCTTGCAAATTGGCTTCTAGGTTGGAGGCCACCACTAGTAGGTTGGAGGCCATCGTTGGAGGCCATCGCTAGTAGGTTGGAGGCCATCGCTAGTAGGTTGGAGGCCATACCTTGGATCTTGCAAATTGCCTCCATGAAACGAATCTCCAAATCATTTTCCGTGTTTCTGAAGACATAAAAACGATCGACTCATTTGGTCTCAAGCGTTGTTTTCCGGTCGATGCAAGAAACAAAGGCCTCGATGCTCTTCGTGACTCCGCGCGAGCAAAGGCCCGCCTTGGGCTCACCACTGCGCAATGGATCCCGTAGGGCATTGATGAGCGTACTCTTCCCATCACCACATTCGCCCACCACCAGGAAGATCTTGGGGCCAGCCAGCTGACGCTCTGAGCCGAGCTGGCTTAGCCCTTCGCTGACAGCCTGGGCACTTCGAGGTTTCAAGGACTACAGGAAAACTAAATGACAACAAGTAAACAATGTTCTTTTGAGCTACTAATAGCCTTCGCCTCCAACCTAGAAGCAATGGCCTCCAACCAAATACCAATGGCCTCCTACAAACTTTGTATATTGCCACAACGCTTAACTCAGAAGCTGGTCGTCAGATCCAGTTGAAACAGGTATGCAAAATGCAATGTGATCTTGGTTTCTGTACATCTTGGTGTGGTTCCTACCTTTAAACAATGAAACCTGCATTGCTGTAGTCGTCTCTGCCCACTATTGAATACTACTCCACGAAAATCGTCCATAGCATGGTCCAAAGTAGGCTTTGCCAGCATCTGCCCAACCAAGTCGCAAAAGTACTGGCCTTCACTATCCAAGTAGCGCTCGGGCCGGGCTGGAACGTGATAAGGACCCTTTTTGCCAAACTAGCCACCACATCGAAGCCAGCTTGAAGCGAAGTGCGCTTGAGGCTACTCCTTGGTCGCGTAAAAGCAGGCATCACGGCAACTTTTCGCGTTGGGTCATCCAACCGGTGAGCAAAATCGATCAAACCCTAAACCTTAACACCGATCGTAAGAACCCCGATCTGCGGTGACCACTCGGACACGTGCCTCTAAACACGCCGTGTCACCGCAGAACGCTTGCCACCGAGGCACCCACTGACAGGCGAGGGCACCATCAGCGTACAGAGTTCGGGTGCTCACTGCACGAAATGAAGATGGAATCACAAATTGACGATGCAAAGGGACTTATATATATATATAGCCTAGCTGGTTTTCGAGGTACACGCCAAGCATCCAATTTGTGCAATTTGCCAGCTAAATGTGCCTATGTGCTCTCCTACAATGCGACTAAGGGCATGAAACACGTTCTTAATGGTTTGTTTCAGAGGGGACTCTGAGCCACCCTGCAAGGCACATTCATCTATTTGCCCAAGTGAACTGACCTCCAACTGGACTTCCTGACCTCTAACGATCCTCACTGCAAGTGCGAAGCCTTACGGCATTGCGACAAATCCACATCTGGGCGCTGCGCTGGCCCGCTGGCCAAGCCAGGTCGGAAGGGGACATGTCGCGTCGACGCATCCAAAACCTGCGCCAGGTGACACGGTGGTGAAGGGGCGCAGGAAACCTCGAAGTCCGTTCTCCCAAAGAGGCGCTGCGTATTCTGGCGGTTTCACTCATTCTATGCAGGTGTTCAGTCCATGCAGGTTATGGTGAATATTGTTTGATGGAAAACCTGTCTTTTGCAGGTATGGTTCACGTGCACTTGTACGGGTGGTCAAATGTACAAATCTCCACATTGAGGAATGCAAAACCAAAGCTTTGCAGGTACTATATCCGCTTTGAAACCCCTCTCGCCCAGCAAAACAATCTTCACGCAAAGAACAAACCAGCAGATGCCACATGTTTTGTCCACAAGGTAGCTACCTGGAAGGAAGAACCATGTGGGTCCGTCCCAGCTTCCAACAAAAATAGGTGGGCGCTTGTGCCGAATGTCCAGAAAACGCAGTGTCCAGAATGTTCAAAACAACTGAGGGAGACACTGGACACCCGTCAACCGATTTCGGTCCTGAGCTTGTCAAGGTCCTGATTCTGTCCTGAGAGCCACACCTGAGCAGCTGTGCAGCTGTGCAGCTGCGCTGGACCTTGGACACCAACTAAACAACCTTGACAAGGACTGCTTTTTGGTATCCTTGGAAAGTCTAAGAGATTGCACAAAAGAAGCAAACAAGTATTGTCTCAAAGGGTGCACCTTCGAATCACGTTCTGAGGCTTAAGACTTAAGACAGGCTTAAGACTGCTATCGCGCCAAGCTGCCTTCATCGGCTTGCAAGCCCTCACGTATGGGTTCGATCTTGCACTTGAAGGGATTCTACGGACGATGAGGACACCTGCATCTCATCAAATGCACCATAGAGCACCCAATGTCCTGCGACTTGCAGCAAGCTCTCAGCCTGCTTCACTTGAATCTCAGCTTGCTGTAAAGATATTCCTCTGCTGAGAGGCTTTTGTGAGTCGAAGAGACTCCGGTAAAAATGCTCGACGAAGACGCTCGCCGAGTTGTCACTTATTTTCGTCAAGCAAAAGGCAACAGATCTCGCACCTGCCAAGTAAAATGCCTCCGCTGTGGCTCGAGTGACCTCGCAAGTTGAAAGTACAACGAGCTCAGTTCCATCCAAATTCAATGCCAAAAGCTCTTCAGAAGAGGTGATGTGGCCTGAGCAGCGACTGGCAGAGTCACAAAGCACCAGTCCGCCACTATAAGATGCTGAAGAAATATGGAGAATACTGGGCACATTCACTTGTTGCAAAGCTTGTATGGACGCATCTTTTCCCTTGTACAGCTTGACAGCTCCAAACTGTTGGTTCAACCACATGGAAACCTTCTCAGCCTCCGTTTCAACTCCTGGAAGCTCTACAAAATCAGGAACATCTGCGGCAGCAACGATCACTGGCGAGTTTGGAGATCTCGAGGTTGGACCAGTTTGTAGCAAGTCAATTGCCCCAAACAAATATGTAACTGACAGGTGACAGGCCACAGCTGTGTCATCCAATGGCCATGGCAACGAACCAAAGTGCAAGGGGAACAGCATATCATCTGGCGACACCAACAAGTGTGTACAGTTTGTCTGCGCTAGCACGGGGTCTAGGATGAGTCTGCGGAGGGGCTCCCCGAGCTCTTTCTGCAGTCGCCTCCCAAAGACGCGTCTCTTCTGTCTCTCAACAACTGGATTCAAGCGGCACAATACCTCATTACTGCTTTCCAATCGAACAATTTCTTTCACTCCACAAGAGACCACAAATACATACAAGTCAGATTCAGCTGCATTCTCTGCAGCATGTGCTCCACTGACCTGGCAGTAGTCTGCCAGTGCTGAACCTGCCGGAAGTCTTGCCTGCATCTTTCTCAGAAGGTGGGCTGGGTCATCGTTACAAGCAAGATGCAACCCTTTCATTAGTTTGACAGTGCAATTTCTGGTGGTAGCATGAAGGCAGCATCTCTGCCAGAAGACTTCTTCAAAGCATGCATCATGCAAGGCAGGGCAGCGGGCACAGACAGAGGCTAAAGCGAGGACTGCCAGCACCCAACCTGCATCTGCTTCCAAGCTTCTGAGGCATTTACGATTGAGTAGACGTGTTCTCAAGCTGTCTCTGCACTCCCGGCAAGCACGCAGCCAATCTTGCAGTTGTGCCCTGAACACCAGGGCAGCAAAACTCTCGATGTCAGAGTCAGGCGGGTCACCAGCTCCCAGTGACTCAAGTTCCTCTAAATCATCAACCAGTGTTGAGCACAGATCCTCTGGGAGCTCTTTTAGCCAAGCGCCGCCTCGGAGCAAGGGACGAGGCTTGCAATAAAACAGCAGGATCTCTTTCAAGGCACGGCGCAAACTGGCTTTGCTGGAGGACCAACTCGTCTTTCTCAAAAGGTCAATCATCTCTTCACTCCTCCCTTGGCAGTCCAACCAGTGCAAAAGAAATCGGACAGCTCTAACTATCTCCCACTCATCTTCAGACCAATCGTTTGGCATGCCTTCTCGCAAGGTCCTTTCCAGCTCCTCACAAAGACCTGGCGAATGCCATTTGAGCTCGTCGGCGTTCCTTTCGGCGATCAAACGTAGGTTGGCAGTGCCTTTCAGCCAAGAGAGCCCTCTTTTCTCTATGCCACCTTCCATCAGTCGCATGTGACTCTCCTCATCTCTTCCATTTTTTGCAAGTTTGATGAGCTCTCCTGCCTGTAATGGCACCCATCGTGGCATTTTGTCTTTTGGAACCGCTTGCCTTGCAAGAAGCACCAGATTTAAGACTGAAGCTGGCATTGCACTGTGAGGAATGTGTTTCGGCTCTGTTGCACCTGCAAAAATAGAAACTTGACTTCGCAGAACTTCAACCACTTTGCAGACACCCTTGCGAATCCTTGACCTTTCATCCTCCAGGAAGGGCACTGGCTTCACTACCACAATCCAAAGGCTCCCATACACGAGAAACGACATGAACTGCGGATCCTGGAAGAATTCTTGCAAAGGGGTATCGTAGCTGAGCCTGCCGATGCACTCCAAGAGATTTCGCTCTGGATTCGCACTGATAGCTACGTTGGAAACTTTCATTGCCTCAACATGCACTTGCGAGGACTCCTTGGGCAGCTTCAGCTCACAATAATAATCATTCAGCGCTTCCAGTATCTCTACTAAGTTGGGAAAACAAGCTTGCTGACGTTGCCGGGGTAAGTCTTGCATCTCATCTTTGAGCGCTTTCAGCAGGTTCAATGGCAAGTTGTTCCCTTTGATGGCGCTATCGGTTCCATTCTCTGCCTGCATATCATCCAGCAGCGTGTCAACGTCTTGGAGAGTTTCTGCCTGAAGGAATGGAACCTCTGACACGATACATTCAAATCGCTGAGACTCTCGCAAACATGCAACCTTTAGTGCAATTTGACCTAGCAGACCCCTCATGTGCCTTTGGTCAGCCAGACCTATGACATTCTCCAGAGCACGGTCAGACAAGGAGTTCAGAAGATACCGAAAAAGCGGGGCAGATTGTATGTGGTCCAGCTGTCTTTTGCTCATGATCGCCTCGTAGGAAGGTAAAGTTTGCGGCGGAGGCGGCGTGAAAAGTTGGATGCGCTCTCCGGGTTGTTGGTCCACTTCGACCTGAACTGAACCTAAGGACAAGAATCGGCTGTCTTCTTCAAACTTCTTCAGCAAATCAGGAAGTTCAAACGTGCCAATCTGAAGAAGGTAGCACAGTGACTGCGCACCGTGACACCAGTCTGTCAGGCCGTGCCCAGCTGGACACATGTACACATTGATGTATTTGTTGGTTTCGTCACGTGCAAGCACGGGCTCGTGGGGAAGCTCTTCGTCGGCAACTCGGCATGAGAAGTAGAAGCAGCAAACGTGCACGTACTTTAATGCCTTTTCCTCAACACACTGCTGGACGAAAGCCATGAGCGGGATGCAATCTGCATAATGTCTTGCTTGTGAAGGTACCACCCAAGTCTGCCCGTCATTCGAACTAAGCGCATGGCCGGAATATGCCAACAAAAGAGTGCACTCCACTTTTAAGTCTTTGATGGCTTCTTTGATGCCCTCCTTTATTTCGTTGGCATTCCAAGTACTTGGCAGAACCTTCGTTCTGATTCCTATGCTTGTGAAAGTCGCTGACAAGCGTGTTGCATCTACCTCTGCTCCAGGAAGGTCCTCAAATGTTCCAAGTCCTCCTGCTCCTTCCTCTTCTTCATACTTATACTTGGTGATTCCGATCACAATGGCGAAAGCCTTACATTCATCTTGGGCCTCCGCCCTTGCTGCTTCTGAATGTCGCCTCAGCAGCAGTGTGTCCCTGCCTTCTGATGGCATGATAAAATTCGTTCCACTTGGGGGGGTCGCTCTTTTCGCCAGAAGAACAAAGCGAAGGTGGCCAGTCCGGCATCATCTAATTCAGATTCATGCAGTATCCCAAAGCTCAAGTCCCCACCTTGTTGGGGCTCCTTGATGGAAGACGATGTGATACTTTTGGTTTGAATTGGGTTGAAAGGTGACTTGCCCACATTGAAATCTTTGTCAAACCAAACACAAGGTTGCTTTTGGGGTGAGAGGCCGTGATGACTTTGGCCTTCGCCTCAGACTTGACGCCTTTGCAGCAGCCTGGAAGATCATTTGCCACAAAGGATGTCCCACCAAACCTACACCAAAGCAACTTGGATCATGATTGAGCAAGTGACAATGTGGTTCAAGAACTGTAATATGTTTAATATACAAATTGTCCGCATAACTATTTATAATGTTCAAAGCAACTTGGTTCTAGAACCGATGACAGCTGTTAGTGTGAACGTGCCTCTACAGGGGAGCAAGATTCAAAGGGTGTCCAAGTAGACAACAAAATTGTTGAAGCATGGGCCATTCAAGAGATTTTTACAAGCAGCAACACATTCCGCCACACCGGGAAGGCAATCCATCTGTCTGGCATTGAACCTGTTGAGCACATTGGGGCCTAAACCAAACTACTGTGCTAATTGAATCCGTATCAAATCATGCGCAACAACTACACGACCCTCCAAGGCCTCCAGACTTCAGCACTCTGGTGACTCTGGTGTGCTCCAGATCGCAGAATCCTTTTAAGGGATGGCCGGAAGGGTGGAGGAGTGGAGGCCTTGGAGCCATCAGTGGACTGCAACACGCTGGCAATCCACGTGTGGTTTCTACTTGTTTGTATCAGGCAACCCTGATTCACCAGCAATCTTTTGATTCCTTCCTTCAGTCAGCAACTAAAGCCTGGCTGAATAAAGTTGTCTGCTAGTTTTGAAGAGTATTCCTTGGGTACACTGGAATAAACGCTGTTTGACAGAAGCGCATCATCTTGATCATATCATGACATCTCAAGACAGAAACAAAGAACTGCCACAGCTGCTGTGTCCGTCTGAGTAAAACATGTTTTGTGTGTCCAGATTCTGCAAAACACACTCAAAAAGCAAGCCATGGCAAGCTCCCATTGGGCTCGCCCGAGCTCACCCAAGACTGCAACTGTCCTTACTGCCTTACTGTCCTTGACTCAATCAATAGTGTTAGGCACCACACTGCGTTCAAAAGGACTGATGATTCCAGTTAACTAGTGGCCCATCGGCCCATCTCCTCGAAGCCACTCGCAGCGAGCTTCGTCCTCAATCCAGCTCCTTGGTGGACCGATGATGGATTTAAAGCACACCATGAATAAGTTAAGTGCTTCCAACGTCTCATGCAAAAAGAGAAATGTCTGCTCATGACACCTCCTTCGGGGCATCGTGAATTCTGACCTCCTTGAAACAAGAATTAGCAATTATCTTATCCACTTGCGGATTGTCGTCCACGAGTGCCAAGTAACACGAAGCTGAAAACGGAATCACCTATTCAGATTTCGCATTGAGTTGGAATGTTGAAACCACTCTTTCCGTCTCTCCTTGCTCAGACTCAGACTCGGATGTGGCCGTGCTAAATAATCAGCCGGTCATGGAGTCATGGGTTGGTCCGTGCTTCTGTTTGGCTCTTGGGACACATCTGTCATGCGGTTCGTTCGTTTTTGCAAACGCTTGGCCAGATGATGTCAAGGTATTTGCAACTGCAGTGCAAAGTGTTTGCTTCTACCTCCTGTCTTCACTTTTCCTGTTGACTTACGATCCAAAAGCATTGCACCTGCATCTTGCCCACTGTCGCAGTGGTGCGGATGGGTTTTCCTAGTAGAACCCTTTGCTTCTATATAATTTTAATTCAAATTAAACGTAATTCTAATTACATTTAATTCTAATTCTAATAGCTTCTTGTTACTAGTAGTAAGGCCCTTGCTCCTAGTAGCGATGCCAGGAGCCCCTAGTAGCGTCCTTGCCCCTAAGACAGATTTGCACTCAAGTCATGCAGAGGCTAGCAACAGCAGCACAATAAAAAATGCTGCGCTCGCTCTCTCTCTCTCTCTCTCTCTCTGGCCAACTCAATTGGATTCCCACTCCGACGATTCTTCACTACTAAGAACACGGTCTTTTTTCATCTTGTTCACCAAACGGACCACAGGGCTCTGTAGATCGATGAAGATCCACCCGTCTCAGAGACATCCATTTTCCAACGGCTTGTCTTGCACAATTCCTAACTACGCAATTGAGCTGGTGCTCCTGGCCAAAACAAACTGAATCGGATAATTCGGTGGTGGTCCATGGTCCACTGAACGCCGCCAATCTGATGTTACCACGAGATCCGCAGCCAGCTCGGAAAGTGAACCGCAGCTACAGCCCTTCATCACCCAGGCCTCAACGAATTGCTGGCAACTTAATGATGAACATGAACATGCGCAAAAGTTCGTGGGCATGGCGCCTGCAATTTCATCTTCTCACCACTCCCCCCCAAGCAACAGACACTGCCAACAGCAAAACCGTTTCCCTACCCAGTTCGCTCGCCAAAACGGTGGCCCCCGGCCACCACGGTGCAGGTACTGATCCTCCACAGTTCGATCGATGACCTGTTTGGCCGCAGGCGCGTGAGCCCGAGCGGCTCTGAATTGGATCGAGCTGGGCTCGCGAAGAGCGGTTCTGCCCGCACCTGACGACATGACGTCGGTCGTTCCGAACGACCTTCGGCCCAAGCACGACAGCGTCCCACTCTGACCGGAAGGGATGGTGTTGGTCCTCGACTGAGTCTCGTGCGTCGGATCCAGAATAGCCTGGGCCCTGCAAAGGGTCGGTAGGTGATTCAGGGCCTCAGCTGCGTGGAGCGTTGGAGTGCCCTCTCCCGTTGCCGCGAGTGACTTCTAGAGATATGCAAAAATATGCCAAGCATTCTTTCATATGCTTTTATCTATATTTCCTCCAACCGACTAGCGATGGCCTACAACCTAAGAGCGATGCTCTTCAGTGTTCATCTCCGCTGTTTGCTGAAAACAGTGAGGTCACATCGCGGTGTTGAAGAAACGAGAAGAAACGAGGCCAAAAACAAGGCTCGCAGCTCAACCTTGAGCTCAAATTTCCTTGAATGTCCTCAAATCTCTGCTGAAGACTTTCAGTTCCACGTCCAGGAACCACTTCTCCAGATGTTGGTCAGAGCTGAAATGCGACTCCTCCATGCTCTTGGAGTTGTTGCCTGAAGTTATTGTCCGACTTCTGGTCAAAACTTGAACCAAGGCCCAAGGCACAAGCAGTTCATCCAAGCTTCTTGGTCGAGCACAAGTCCTCTTTCAGCATCTTTCTGCTAATATAACAGTCTGTGTGCAATCTTCCTGAAGAAAGGTCTTACGGAGATGTTTGTTCTTCAGGAAGGTCGGAAACACAGACTTAGTTGCCCAAGTTTTGGCCGCATGGCGGCAACGCTACTAGGGGCTCCTGGCCTTACTACTAGGAGCAAGAACGCCACCAGTAACAAGAAGCGACTAGTAGCAAAGGGCATCGCTACGAACGGAGCAAGGACGCTATTAGGAAGTAGTTGGCCGCATGGCGGCAACGCAGGTGGCGGTGCGTTCGCCCATGGCGTTCGCCCATCGCTGCGCGTCGCTGGGTCCGACCGCGCCGTGCTCGGCCGGACTTCGGAGAGTGAGACGGAGAGTGGACGGCGGAGCAGCCAAGGTCCCTGTGACGCTTGCGCAAATGACCTCCATCACAATCCATTCACGGAGCTTCCCTCACAGCTAGCTTCCATCGATCCATCGCTTCCGAACTGCCTTCCATCGAACCATTCGGTCTTGGTGCTTTCCAGCCCACACACTTGGAAAAGTCGCCTGTGCGATGGCGCACATTAGATAACCAAGTGGAGAATTAAGTCGAACCCCTAAGATGTAGGTCTTGGAGAAGTCCGAGATCACCTTCAACCAGAACAAGAAAAGACGAACTCTTCAATCGGATCTGTCGCTCATCGGTACGGAGCCCGGCTCAAGCAGAAAGTGTGACTGCACTGCGAAGCCTCTAATCTACTGTGTCTTCTGACCAAGACACCCAAGTCAGTTTACATGAATTAAAAAACACGTGTTGAAAAAGGATGATAAAAATGTCTACCTTGTGCTCCAGAAATTCGTTCTTCAGGGCCCTGGCATTCTTCACGTGCGGTAGTCTGAGCCTTGGTGAACCGATGGCCCATCCAGATTGGTGGTCATGAGAGTAGTAAAGTAAAATATGCCAAGAACTCCAAACCAAGGGCCATTGAGGTTGAGAATTCACAACAAAGGTGCTCAGTCAGGGAAAAGTGTGTAGTATCAAATTGCGAAGTGGTTCTTGGGAGACAACGTTTCCTCTTGACTCTCTTTCTTTTGGGTTCTCTTTACTTGCTGAAGTCACCAAGCTGACATCAAGCTCCCGCCCTCCGAGTCCCACACCAAGCGAACCCAGTTCGGAAGCTTCTCCTTGTTGCCTGGGTAACAAAGATCTTATCGCAATTCGGTTCGAGGCGATCGCTACTAGGATCCTTAGGTCTACTTGCGAGAATGCTGACAAAGCACTATGCCAAACACCCCTTGCGATTCATCCGAAGAACGTCTGTCGATCTTGCACGTCTGGAATCTTGAGGCACTCACCAAAGAAGAAACAAAGACCCTGGGCCGTCAGAGCTGTCGGAGGGGCTAAGACCGGGCTACCACAGTGTGGTTCTGACAGATGCAACATCAAAGTGTGGCTTCTTTGAAACTATGGTCTAGAGTATGAAATATCTTTTGAGTGGCTTAAACATCTGCACTTTTGCTATGGCATCATGAAACCATTGTCTAGGGGAAATGTTAGTTGGGCCGTGTGAATCACCTTCTGATCTTGCAACACGCATCTGGGCACAGCACCCCGGCAAAGAGCACCAGCAGCACCACCTGCACCTCGGATAAAGTATGAG